TGTTGTACAATTTAACACTACAACTTTAACAAATGTTGGGGATGCTCTTAAATATAGGACCCTTATCTCCCAAATTAATGGTCATAATGTAAAAAGATGAACTTTTTTTTAATAATATCTATTGATTGATTAGTCACCTTAAACTACATTCTTGAATGAAAATCTTATTCCCAAAGCAAAGCTAAAAAAAGCTCGGAAGGTGATTATTAACTCAAGATGTTACCTAGCATCAATAGAATCGATAGATATAGAATATTATTTCAAGAAACCATTAAAGCATCAAAGCGGTGTGAAATAAAATTAAAACGTTAATTGAAACATCAACTTCCCTGTAAAAACATGATCGCTGTTTTAGACTTCTGGTAGTCTCAACAAATAGTAAATACTCTCCCGACGTTCTTTATCTCCAACAAATGTCCTAACAAAAACATCTTTGCTTGATAGACATGGTACAATATAGGAACTAATGAGCCGTGCCTTGAGCGTTACTACAAATTGCTTCAACTTTACTTCTTGGACATAAAGAAGGTTATATTCACTCGATTCATCCTAACGGTATTGCAAGGAATTTTGCTACTACAACTTAACGTGATTGCTACTCAAGATTTGTAGCATAGTTCCTTGCAATAACATCAGAACAAATCTTGTGAATATTACATACAATATGCAAGAAGTGAAATCAAAGCAATATGCAACAATGCTCAAGACATGACTACCGCTACTGTACCCTATTGTCTCATGGCTATCATGCAAAGGTGTTCTTAGGGACGAACCTGCAGCATCTTCCTTCTTGCACATATAGCAGACGGCGGTGGTTTCTGTGATACCACTACGAGAATAACCCACCGGAAAAAGAAACAATCATGACTTGTATTGGGTTGTAATGTAATGAGTGTGTATATGTATATAGATATACACGCAAACTTACATTACATGTAGGATTAGGACTCCTAGTACCAACCAGAGAGGAATATACACGGACCGTAATGCGAGGCCTAGGATTCCTAGTTCCAACCGGAAAAGAATAAATCCAGGTGTTTTTGGAAAAAGGAAGGAATCGTAAGAAACCCAATTCGAAAAGGAAAAACGTATTCTCTGTTTTTCTACACAGTCGAGGAAGGAGAAGAAATTAATGTCTTTCCTTTTCAAATTTCTCTACATTTTATTTTTTGTCAATTTATTCCTCGGTCCTTAACTTTCCATATCTCCACAGATTGATATCCTTATATTCCGTTTTATTCAATTAAGTCGCTGCAATTCAAAATTTCAAGTTTTTGTCATTTAATTCCTAAAATTGCAATCTTGTAATTTAAATTCAAAATTTCTTTGGGTCCACCCTCTACCTTGCCTCTCTAATTCATCCGAGACTTCCAGCTCTCTCAGTGTCTCCCCTTTGCCCTCCCTTGGAGGCTTTAGGGGAAATGAAGGAAAACTAGCAAAATAATGCCCAATCTATTTCTTAACTCCTTTAAATTCGTCCCATAAAATGGTGTTTATAAATTTTTTTTGAGAAAGTGCTCTAATAATTTCTTGGGGCAAAACTAAACATGGATGAGTCTTTTTTATTCAGGTCTGGTTATCTCAATTTTACCTTTAGAAAAAAAATTTCAATAATAAGGTAACCAAATAAACCCTTAGAGTGAGAATATTGTAAAAAACTGATGGAGATAACCTCACAAAAAATTTCCTCTAGCCTTAACAAATACGTATATACATGAAGTGGTTACAAAATCTTTCCTAATTTCACAAAAATATATCAATTAAAAATAAAAAGAGAACGCATTTTTTTTTCTTTTTTTAAATCTTGAAGGAGGAAAGCCTCATATTTTGGGGCCTTTCTCGTTATTGATTATAATTATACAGTTTTATCAAGTCAAATTACACAATATTTTTTTAAATAAAAATAAAAATTTAAAATAATTAAAAAGGAAATTAAGGGAAACCAAGAGATGTTGACATTTAAAGTGACGAGACTACCTGTTTTACTCTTCTTGTTACAAGATCTTTTCTATTTCTATTTCCACAAAAATTTGCCTTTATTCTTTAAAACATTAAAAGAGTATATATCAGTAGACATGAAGGTGAATTGAATCCATGAGACAATAGGAAATTCTGAGATTAATAAATGGATGGAAGTCCGCACAACATTAGCAACATGGATGGAATCTCTGGTACCCGGACTGGAAATTCTGAGATTGAAGGTGAATTGGATCCAGGCAGGTAGAATCAAGAGAGAATTTCTAATGTTTCTGGAAACAGGGAAGGAACAGGAGATGGAGCAGGTCATGTTTTAAAGGAGAAACAAGTGATAATTTAGAAGGTCTGTTTCCATGGATTCTTCTGATTGGAAAATTTACACCCAGTTGAGTGAGAGGGAGTAAGTTTTGAGGATCAGAGGTCAAATTCAGGCAAGAATCCGTTGGGTAATCCTTCTTCATTTTCCCAATTTTTGCACTTGGGTCCTGCTCCAATGAAGAGATCACAGTCATGCAATGGGAGGTATCTCTATCTCTCATCCAAACATGGCCTTAGCCC